GGTATCGGTACTCGGTATCGGCAAGTACCAAAAATAAAAGTATCGTATCGGGCGAGTACTGGAAAAAGTGGTATCGGTGCATCCCTAAATATTTCACAATATTACTGTTTTACCATAATTCTGATAAAATAAATGTAGCCATGGTGAACATAAGAGATTTCTTTCAAAAACATTTTTAAAATCTTACTGGCCCCAAACTTTTAAAAGGTAGTATATATGCAGTACATACTATTAAATTTGGCAAAAAAAAAACAAACGAACAAAAAACCAAAAACAAACAAACTGGTATACCATCAGCTTATGGTTGCTGGGTCACTGCTATAGAGGTAAAAACTCATTCTATGAGAGAGAGAAGGAGAGACTCAGAAATAACAGAGTTCCTGTTGGTAACCATCACCACACCACCCCAGGTAAACTCCTACATCAGGTCTGCAGGGATCAGATCAGATGAGAAAGAACTAACCTGTGACTGGCTGAAAGCAGCATGGTTGCCATTGAAAGGAGATTTGCGCTCCTTGTCGCGATAGTGACGGCTGCTGTGTTTACTGCGCTGGAGCTGCTGCCTCAGCTTCACAATCTGAAACATGGAGAGAGAGAGAGATTGTCAGGACAGACACTATTCCTCACTTCCAGTGAACATTCAAATCTATCTTGCTTGGATAAATGATTATTCTGCAATAATGACTGTATGTTATGTCTTATTAAACTCTAGCACTGAGTGAGTCAGAGCCCAGGGTCAGATGGGATTATTGATTGTCTCATGGCACTGCATTCCTCACTGCATTCAAGTAATCCATTATGTACACAAATAAACACCCAAACCCTCTCTCCACCCCAAAACACATGCTTTCAAAAACACTTATGATTGACTGCGTTAGTACTATTTCCTTTATTAAACAGAAAACAGATACACCCTCCCGCTCACTCTCTCTTTACCCCAGCCTAGGAAAGAGGAAGGCAATACATGTCCAGATGGGATCGGATGTCGAGTTAAACCCAGCCTCAAGTCCGTGAATAGTGGCTATGAGCGAAACCCTTATATGTTAAAATAATCTCACCTGTAGCACCCAGGATGTGAGGACTCATTCAGTTTCTTTCATCCATTCTTCCATAGCTCCGTCTATCCATAACCTACCTATCCATCCATTCATCTACCTATTCATCCATTCATCCACCTACCTACTTATCCTTCCATCCACCCATGCATCTAGCTATCATCAATCCACCTAACTATCCATCCATCCAGCTATCCATCCACCTACCTATTCATCCATTCATCTACCTATCCATCCATCCATGCATCAATCCATCCATCCACCTACCTATTCATCCATTCATCTATCCATCCATCCACCTACCTATTCATCCATTCATCTATCCATCCATCCATCCACCTACCTATCCATCCATCCACCCATCCAGCTCTGAATGGCTCCAAATAGAATCTGTTAGTTGTCATCTTGTAATTCCTACAAGATGTTGAAACGTATAGATCTATTTTCTTGGAATACCATTCAGTAATGAATAAATAAATAACATTTTTCTTTCAGTGCATTCTGGGGTAAACATCTGTCTACTGCCTTAGAATTTAGATAAAACATGAAATGCCAGGCCAACTCTCCTATGATATCTAGAAACGTTTTCTAGGTAGGCTGCTCACTAGGTTTCCATCAGATGTGCCTACAGTGTGCAGTGAGTGCACATATGACCTGCTCACTGTTTAGAGAATGATTAACTATGAAGTAGAACACTAGTACACACACTACAGTATAGAGTCGACTGAGCGGTGAGAGATGGCATTTGAGATAACAAGTGGCAGAAGATAATGTACGCACAGACACCGGTGAAACCTTGGCACTTAAGAGGCACAGCAGAGATATATGAAGGGAGGAGACCCATGAAGTGGTGGAAGAGAGGAAGAAGACAGGCTGAATAGAGAGAACAGTGTATGAAGCCACTGGTGGATGTGACAGGGGAAGGAAGGGTGCACACACAAACAGGAGGAAGGGAGGGTGTAATGCGAGGTGACACCAGGCTGCTTCTGGTTCACTAAAGCCTGCCAATAATATGATAATGACACAGCCTCCATCTTCCCCTCCCCACCACCCACAACAGCCTGTTGCTGCCCCGTCTCCTCATTCACAATCTCACAAGGGGGAGAGAAAGACAACGAGGGGGTCCAGCCCCGGCCCTGCTTCTGCTGAATGGAACAAAGCGCGGGGGAGGAAAGGAGATCAGGCCCTAAACGCATCCTGACCTCTTTTAGCTGGTCAGTGCTGCCGCAGGAGGCTGAGCGCTTGTGACAGCCCCTCTTCTTCTCTCCGCATTCATCGGCCCAGGCGCTGGGGGTCTGTGGGAGACACACATGAGGCTGTCAGACATGAAACAACAATACGTTTTGATAATCACAGCATCATATTGTTTCTTGATTCATGAGTATGCTGATACAGTCTTTTGATTCTTATCCAAAGTAATAAGGTTGCTTACACTCGTCAAAGCCAACTGAGAATAAAAATTGTGGTTACTTTTTAGCTTGTAACTTTGGGAATTGCAACATTACCTGGTTTAAATTAAATTGTGTGAGTCATGTAAATCCAATCGACGTGCATGTCTTTTACGTCAGTGGAAATGTAATCAGAAGCTTGTCAAGGACGTTTTACGTTTTGTTGTTTTTGCCAGAACTCCATGTGATGGCTTTTTTTGCTCTTATTTTTTTCATTAAGCCAACAAAACCAAAACAAGAGGAAGAAAATCATGATGTTTCGACAACAGGCTCATCTTGCGTATGATATAAAATATTTGCACTTCCAACTGGGACATAAAAATATATACATATACAGTACATATAAAACTTTGCCAGGTGTGGCATAAAGTTAATGTTGGGCTCTGTACACCATTGCAAACAGCTGTTTTTACGGTTAGGAAAAAAAAAAAAAGGAGATCTCCATGCTTCTCGTGTTTTATGACCATATCAATGGGCTGTCTAGCCTGCCCTTTAAATTCATCTATGCACAATTGTCACAAAAAGACCCCTGACAGGAGAGATCACCCTCACCCACGCACACACACCAGTGAAGGCACGAAGCCGGGGATGGTGAATCTAATTTAGTACTTTATCCTGTATACAAACCGTTTAATGCTCATCTTTACACGGAACATGGTTGGTGTAACTTCTTTGCAAACTTCCTTCCTAAATGTAAAAATACAGCTGCTGTTGCCAAAGATGAGAATGGAGAGGCACAAAGGGCGTAGGGTGGCTGGCTCTGAGCTTCCTTTGAGTGAAGTCTCTATCGCTCAAGTGTGATATAGCTCTCTAAAAAGATAACCGCAAACACTGCAGCCAGAGCAGAGACACACATAAATATAAGCTTAATTTGTTGAAACTAAGGATGCATATACCAATAATTACAAGTAGTATGGGTTTTAATGCCAATCTGCCCTCAGAGAGCTGTCAAACTGAAAAAACCTGCCTCGGAATCCCCAAATAAGAGCAGAAAACACAAATAATATTTGTCAAACATGTGACATAATTCACCAAAACAGCATTCTGTGAGAAAAACTATTGAAGCATATAGGTAGCGAAATTCAATTTAAAATGCAATATGCAAAATGGCAATGCAATATTCAAAATGGCAACGCAATATTCAAAATGGCAATGTATTTCTGTATTTAAATT